TCTAAGAGCTATCTCAAAATGGAAATGATGTCATGGGAGATAGCAATTCCACCTTATTAGTTAATAAATCCTGCATGATGAGAAAAGATGGGAATACTAGAGGGAAAGACAGGCATACTAAAGTATTATTGGTGCAACTATGCGAAGCAATTTGGAATTATGATCATAAGGCAGTAAAAACATCAATAACTTTTGACCTAGCGACCTCACTGCTAGGTATATATACCCAAAGAGGTCATTGACCAAAAAAAATAATTCCATACAGCAAAATATTTAAAGCAACAAAGTTTGTGGTAGCAAAGAACTGGAAAAAATAGATACCCATCAACTGGAAAATGGATAAACAAATTTCATTACATGAATGGGATGGAATATTACTGTGCTGTAAGAAATGATGAATACGATCAATACAGAGAAGCATGGAAAGACTTAAATGAACTGATGCAAAGTGAAGTAGAGTAAGAACCCAATGACTGCAATGACTACAATAATGTAAATGGAAATAACAACCACCATAAAACAATATAAAATTAGTGGTACAAAAGTATACAGAACAAGCTGTGTCCATTCTAAAGAAGAGAAATGATCCCTGAAGAGATGGGGTAGAGGAGGCCCCATGGGTGAGGAACACTACATAAAATGTCAGTTTTCCCCTCAGTGTATTGATTAGTTTAGCTGAATGATTTATTCTCTTCTTTTTCTAAAATTTACATTAAGGAGGGGCAGAGCCAAGATGGCAGAGTGAAAGCAGTGACTTGCTTGAGCTCTCCTCCAAACCCCTCCAAATACTCATAAAAAATGGCTCTAAACACATTCTGAAGCAGCAGAACCCAAAAAAAGACAGAGTGAAACAAATTTCTAGCCCAAGACAACCTAGATGATCGATCAGAAAGGTGTATCATGCTGGGCCGGAAGCGCAGTGCAGTGCGGCATGGGCACGCAGGCCGCAGGGAACCTGGAGCAGGCCTCAGAGGACTGAATCGCGGGCAGCTGTGGAGGTTTCCAGACTCCTCAATCCACAAATGCCAAAGACAACTAAGAAGGTCAGTGGGAAAAGTGTGTTTCTGTTGGTGCTGAGAAAGGAAGGCGGGGTCTCAGCTCCATTCCCTAAGAGCATGGTCCTGGGGGATGCAGCTGATTCCCAAGCTTCCCGCCCACAGACTGAGGGGCAATCCAGTGGCTGATCAGAGAGGGATTTCAGGGATCTCTTTGCCAGTGCTGAGGCAGGAATCTCTTGCTTTGCCCATGTTTGGATCTGGGTCACAGTTCTGGGCAGCTGTGCTGGGGGGGAGGAGGAATGCCGGCATGGTGGAGCTTGGAGTGGCTGTGGAGAGGAACCCCTCCTCACAGTTACAGGACAGAAAGGAATACTTGTGGTCACAGGCCAGGAAAGGAGTAAACACCTCTCCCCTTATCATACCACCTTGCAAGAACTGAAAATGTACAGGTCCCTATAAGCATCTCTGAAAACAGCTGCACAAACCCCTGAAGCTTGGGACAGTACATTCTCCACACTGGAAGCAGACTCTTACCTTAACAAAGAGTTTAAAAATCAAGTAATTGGCTGAGATCATTAGCAAGCAGCGCAAAAAAAGTCAGACCATAGAATCTTGCTTTGGTGAAAAAGAAGATCAAAATGTACAACCAGAAGAAGACAACAAAGTCAAAGCTCCTACATCCAAAGCCTCCAAGAAAAATATGAATCAGTCCCAGGCCTTGGAAGAGCTCCAAAGGGATTTTGAGAAGCAAGTAAGAGAAGTAGAGGAAAAACTGAGAAGAGAAATGAGAGTGATGCAAGAAAATCATGAAAAACAAGTCAACAGCTTGCTAAAGGAGACCCCAAAAAATGCTGAAGAAAATAACAGCTTAAAAAATAGCCTAACCCAAATGGCAAAAGAGGTCCAAAAAGCCAATGAGGAGAAGAATGACCTAAAAAGAAAAATTGGCCAAAAGGAAAAGGAAGTCCAAAAGACCACTGAAGAAAATACTTCCTTAAAAATTAGAATAGAGCAAGTGGAAGATAGTGACTTTATGAGAAATCACAACACAATAGAACAAATCCAAAAGAATGAAAAATTAGAAAACAATGTGAAATATCTCATTGGAAAAACAACTGACCTGGAAAATAGATCCAGGAGAAAGAATTTAAAAATAAAAGAGCCTAGACATCATTTTTCAAGAAATTATCAAGGAAAACTGCTCTGATATATTAGAACCAGAGGGCAAAATGGAAATTGAAAGAATCCACAGATCTCCTCCTGAAAGAGATCCCCAAAGGAAAACTCTGAGGAATATTATAGCCAAATTCCAGAGTTCCCAGGTCAAGGAGAAAATATTACAAGCTGCCAGAAGGAAACAATGCAAGTACTGTGGAAACACAATCAGGATAACACAAGATTTAGCAACTTCTACATTAAAGGACCGCAGAGTATGGAATATAATATTCCGGAGGGCAAAGGAGATAGGATTACAACCAAGAATCATCTACCCAGCAAAACTGAGTATAATCCTTCAGGGGAAAAAATGGTCATTCAGTGAAATAGAGGGCTTTCAAGCATTCTTGATGAAAAGACCAGAGCTGAATAGAAAATTTGACTTTCAAATACGGGACTCAAGTGGAACATGAAGAGGTAAACAGGAAAGAGAAATCATAAGACTTATTAAGATTGAACTGTTTACATTCCTGCATGGAAAGATGATATTTATAACTCATGAGACCTTTGTTAGTATTAGGGTAGTTGGAAGAAAAAAATTATATGTATGTATATGTAGATAGATAGATAGACAGAGGGCAGATAGAGAATAAAATTAAGGGATGAGAAAGGATTATACTCAGAGAAGAAGAAAGGGAGAGGTAGAATGGGGTAAATTATCTCACATAAAAAAACAGAAAAGAAAAGTCTCTTGCAGTGGAGGGGAAACGGGGGAAGGTGAGAGGGAATGAGTGAATCTTATTCTCATAGGATTTGGCTTAAGGAGAGAATAACATACACATTCAACTGGGTATGGAAATCTGTGTTACCCTACAGGAAAATAGGGGGAGAAGGGGACAAGAAAGCAGGGGGATGATAGAGAGGAGGGCAGATTGGGAAAGGGGGTAATCAGAAGTAAATACTTCTGAGGAGGGACAGGGTCAAAAGAAAGAATAGAATAAATGGGAGGGCAGGATAGGATTAATGGAAATAGAGTTAGTTTTTCACAACATGTCTACTATGGACGTGTTTTGCATAACTGCACATGTATAACCTATATTGAGTTGCTTGCCTTTTTACTGAGGGGTAGGTGGGGAGGGAGGAAGAGAGTAAATCTGAAACCTAAAGTTTAAAAACATATGTTAAAAAAATGTTTTTACATGCTACTGGGAAATACGAAATACAGGAAATGGGGTACAGACGTCTGTCCTGCCCTATAGGAAAATAGAAGGGGAAGGGGATAAGAGAAGGGGAGAGAGAATGAAGAGAGGACAGAATAGGGGAAGGGATATTCAGAATGCATGCCATCTTGGGGTGGGGGGAGGGGGAGATGAGGTGAAAATTTGGAATTCAAAAACTTGTGGGAGTGAATGTTGAAAGCTAAAAATAAATAAATTTACATTAAAAAAATAAAAAAAATTTAAAAAAATTAAAAAAGAATTAGTTGCATAAAAATGTTTTGCATGACTTCATATATATAATAGGAATCATTTCTTGACTTCTCAATAGGTGGGGAGGGAGTAGAGGGAGGAAGAGAACTTGGTACTGAAAATAAAAATAAAAATAAAATTAATTGTTTTTGAAAAACGAAATAAAATAAAATTTACATTAAGGATGGTAAGGGGAGGATGTAGGCAGAAATCAAGGTTTTATAAAAACAAAAGACTTCAAAAGATAATTATTTGTCAAAAAAAAGAGGGTTAGATGAACACTTCCAGGGTACATTGTAATGGGATTCTTGGTCATGTATAGATTGGACCTAGATTGTCTCTCAGGTCCCTTCCAACCCCAATATTATTGATTCTATTTTTTCTGAAATCTTGAAGGCACCTTAAAAGCTCTATCATTCTACTGATCAATAATATGTGAATTCTTACCTTCCTTTTAAATGTTAAATTCATTAAAATCACTATACCTTGAAAATTCTTAGTTGTTAAAATCATATTCTTTGAGGTTTTTTGCATAAAATATTAAGAGGAAATATGGTGTAGTGAATAGAGTACTGGCCCAAGATTCCAGAATACCTGGGTTCACATCCTGCTTTGAATGTATTAACCCATTAGTTCCCCAAACAACTCTGTTAAGACTATCTATCTGTTACAGATGAGTTGAAGATCTACAGTACATCAGTCAGTGGGAAGTTCTTACCCTAGGAGATCCTAACACCAGTCAAATCACAGATCTTGGTCCACTCATCTGAATAATAAAATAACATTGTCTTTTAACCAACAAAACTAAAACCATGGAACATCAAAAATTTCCAGAATGAAGAGGTGATTCCTAAATATGCAAAATATGAGAATCAAATTCTTCTGTGAAAATAGAGGCAAAACTTGGCTGAAGCAAACAGATCTAGGAAAAGCTTTATTGAAAACTTTCCTTAAAACCTATTTGGAAACACAGTGAAAGGGTAGAGACACAAGCTCGGCATTAGCTCAATTAAAAAGAGAGAGAAAGAAAGCTTAAACACTTGTTAGTGCTGGAAAAGTGCAACCACACAACAATAAACCAGTCAAAATGAGTTTTGAAAGCGAGGTGATGCCCTTTGTGTTGTGTTATCACAGTGGCAGATCAAACTGCTGACTTGGATGCTTTCTGCGAGCGCTGGGCTCCTGCCTCTCTGAAGCTGCTGTCACAGAATAGTCATGGTGCCTGCTCTTGCCTAGAGAAAAGCCTGAAATTGAACTCGAAGCAGTGTCTTTGTGATATCTTTCCAAAAAGTCATGTCCCATTCAGCCTGCTAGTTTATCTCTGTCAGATTCGAGGCTCCAGTGGCTTGTGAGAGCTGCCAGGGACAGGTATACCGACCTGCTTTGTGCTGAGAAGGTAATGGGTCTTTCGAGCTTGGTGCTGCTTTCTCTTCTCTTCCTTCTCTCGGTCAGCCTTTTTCTTTTCTCGACCCTGCATCTCTACAAACTCCTCCAGTGCTTCCCTGCATCAGAACAATTCTCTGTTATTTGCAATCAGTCAGGTATTTTCGAGGGCCCATTATGTGTAGGAAAAAAACACACATTTTTATCGTGCTTAACAGTTTTTAAAGTGCTTACAACTGGCAATTTACTCAATAAAGTTAGGAAAGAGCCATTTTGAAAGTAAAGAAAATCATGAAAATAGACCTTGCCTAGATGATTAGAGACTTAGTGATTTTAACTGTTCTAAAACAGATAGTTAAGCTACTAAATATGTGAAGCCTTGATTTTATACTCAGGCATCTCAAATCATTATTTCCATATGCAATGCCAATTTCAAAATTGTGCATCTGTCTTTTGCACACATAATTTATTACAACTTAATCTCAATTAGCATTTATAATAATATCAATAAGAAACAGACATTGTACATTAGCCAGCACATGAAAGATTGACACTTGGTTCAGTGATGTGTACAGACAGAATAAATGTTAAACTAGATGAAGCATTTCAAGCCTTTCTCATATGTTCAATAAAATTAAAATAATGAAAATATTTTACATGTGTCTCTCTGACAAGTATATGTTCATGTATACATAGTTCAAGTATGGATCAATAACCATGATGAATCTGGTATTTTGACATAATTTTAGGTGTTTTGAATTATCTAGAATTGTGAGCTCCAGAAAGACAGGGCCAGCATTTTTTCCCCAGCAAACACTGAGATATTCTCTGCACCTAGTTGGTCCTCCATAAATATTTGTTGAAGTTTAAGTAGCATACCTAAATCAAACTTACTAAATAAAAAATGGTTTGGAAAATTACTCATTACTTTTCCCAGGTCACAGTATCTTTTCAGGATTTGTTTTAGAATACATTTTTAAGGGTACATGGATATACATGAACACACAATAGTAAATGAGCCTATTTTAAGCGAATCACCCACGCCTTTGCCTCAAAGGTAGTAGGGGAAAAGAGAATGAAAGGGGGGGGAGGAATTCAAGTAAGAAAAAGATATATAAATCTATTTCAATCTGTAGAATTTTTTCTTTACAGTTTACTGTTAAAGGGTACTAATACAATATTTCATACAAGGTTACTTATGAAACATACTGACGTTTAAAAATCACCATGCTATGCTTTTGCAGCAGTGTAATTTTTTTTCAACATAAGATTAAATTGCAAAATAAATGAATTACTTGGAGTGGCATGGCCCCCATTTTGCCACCCTTCTCTTGAAAATTGCTTATTAATATGAAAAAAGGAGTTGGAAAATAGCCTGTTTTACTTTATGCATAGTGTTTTGGGGGCCTCCAAGCCTGGAGAACTGGACTAGCTGCACATTTAGATTGTGCTGGCAAGCTGGTACAACGACCTTTCTGACCTGCATCTCAAGGCTATTATTAATCGCTAAGTAACCTGGTAAAGCCAAACAAATTTGTTTCCATTGAAAGGATCTCTGTCTGTGTCTGAGAATTTGTGCTGCACCAAACAAACCTCATTAACTGTGTCCATTTTTGACAAAGAACTAGGAGTTGGAAGGATTTGTGACCTTTGTTTGTCCTTACAGTACGATCTCAGGGCAGTTACATGTGGGCAAATGAGTGTTTTTAAAAGAAAAAAAATCACTGTCTTTGGTTACACACAAATAATAGGTGATTACATTATATGCTTTAATTTTTACAAATTATTTTAAGTGATTCTTTTGCTTCTTATCATTATACCTATCTTTTAATTTTATAATCAATGAAAATAAAAAATAAATTTACATTTTTTACTGCTATCCAGCAATGAGAGAGAATTTTTGTTACTACAAAGATAAATGTTATTATAAATTCTCAAAGAAATATGTGGATTAAAACATATTTTTGCTTATGCAAGTTATTGTAATCTCAGTAATATCATGGGATTATAGATTTGGAGTTTGGAGGAGCTTAGAGCTAGCTAGCCCAACTCCCTCATTTTACAGTTGAGGCAGCTGAGGCCCAGAAAGGTTAAGTTATTTGTCCAAATCATAGTCCTTTGAAGTAAATGTGATGAGATTTTAAACTCTTGAAATGTTCTCTGTAAATATCGAATTTTTTATAATGTCTGCTTATAATTGTGGATGAACCAAGGACTTAAATTCTAAATCATTAAGTATATGGAAGCCAAGACAGCCAGAGAATTCACATTCAGGAGGTAGGAAGGTTACAGAATAGCAGAATATACCTAGAAGATAGTAATATGTGAAATGAATATGAATAATGTGTCAGCTTACAGGGTACACAGTAGCAAAAAATGAGATCAGTGCATTATGATCATAAAATTCACAAAATATAATATGATACAATATAGTGCAACACAGTTCAGGTATCCAGAAATAATTTCGATAGAAAACAGAAACAGGAAAGCCAGGAAATTTAAATACATTCTTATATTAGTCAATAAATGCTGGTTGAGGCCTTACTATATTCAAGGTCATATTCTATACTCTTTGAGAGACACAAAGAAGAACGAGACAGGATCTCATAGCTCATGGAGCTTATGTGATTTAGAGGCAACTTGGTGGTATGATGTATAGAGTGCTAGATGGGGAATGAGGAAGCCCTGAATTCAAATCAAGCCTGAAAGACAAGGATTCAAGTCTTTTAACTTCTGTCTGCCTCCGTTTCCTCATCCGTAAAATGGAGAAAATAATAGCACTTACCTCCTAAGGCTGTTGTGAGGATCAAATGAGATAATATTTGTAAAGCACTCCACAAACCTTAAAGCACTAAGTATTATAATTTCAGTAGGGCAGGATATGACCATAACACAAGGTAGAATGTAAACTTCTTGAGGGCAGGGATTATTTTCTCTTCTATTTTTGTATTGGGTGGGGGAACCTATCACAGTGCCTTGCACTTAGAAACTATTTAATATATTTATATTGAATGAAATGCTTAGTTGTAGAATGTAATCATTCACTAAACAACATAGTGTTGTGGGAATTTTGAGGAGGAGGGATCAGAGACAGCATTCATTGAGGAAGTGACATTTGACCAGGGCACTTTTGCTTAGATCATGTTATAAGTCATAATTATTATTTAAGTATTTCATAACATGGCTATTGAGTTATACCATAAAGGAAAATTTTTTTTTGGGGGGTACTCATGGAAATCAGGAAATAATGCTAAAAATAATAAGCCTTTCATTAGGGGAACATTTCACCTCACACAAGGGAAGCTGGTAAATTGTGGGGTGAGGAGAATAAAAGGTAGCAAGGTAATGAAGGAAAATGTAGTGGGGAAAACACTAGTATTATCACTGCCACCTGAAAGACAAGGATTCAGCCAGATCTCTATAGGGGAAAATGTACATAGCGTCCAGGCCTTGGGTGCGCTGATTTACAGGCCCTAAAGAGGAGGCTCTGTGATCTAGGCAAGATGTACCTTCGTGTCCTCACACCCAAATTAGATCAAGTACTCTTCTAATTACTAAGTTTGAGATAACTAGGATGTCCTCTGCAACAAGGTGTTGTAGTGATGTAGAAGAGGAAGGACCAAGTATTTCAGAAGGAAGGTAAGGTCTCACTTAAGGAGTTTCTGACCGGTTTCCCCTTTGTGACATCACAAGACAGGGGGTACCACTTAGCAAGGAGCATGGAAGTTTCCATCAAAGAAGATTACAAATATTGCTAGGAGGGCATTCCAAAGAATTCCTGGAAGGCCAGGAGTTTTAGCTGGGAGAAGGGACCATTTCTAGAGTATAGAAAGGGGCAGATGAGGGAGAGAGAAGAAATAATTTTTCTAGCTTTACCAAAATTTTGTGTCAAAAGACCTTGTTCTGAAACTACCATGAAACTGTATGACCTTGGACAAGTCCGAACCTCTCTGGCTTCCTCATATGTAAAATAATGGTGTGGGTGGGATGATCCCAGACTTCTTAATTTTCTTTGTGTTATGGATCTTTTTGACAGTCTGGTAAAATCTAGGGATTCTTTCTCAGACTTTATTACTTTATTTTAATACTTAATACCTTAATTCTTTCTCAGATTTCAGTACTTTAAATGAATAAAATAAATTCATAGGATTATAATGGAGATCGATTACAGTGAGACACTGTTACCAGTATTTTCTAAATATTTCTAAAGTTCATGGACCCTAGACTAAGAAGCTCTGAGTGACCAGATAACTACTAATATCCTTTCCAGTTCTAAAACTTAATATTTCATAATTCTATAGTATAGGTGGTACCAGTTGAAACTGACCAGTCAAATGTGAATCATTTTGACTGGTGAATCAGACCAGTCAAATGAAAAATCATTTTTCCTATAAGTTTGGGAAAGTTTTCAAAGAATGATTTGAGCTCTGTAGTTTTGAATTATACTCAAATACACTTTTACTGAAAAAGAATAAAAATTTAATTTTGTATTTTCTTACATTCACCTGTGCTTTCTTGTAACATAAAAATTTTCTTGGTGCTTTTTGACACAAATCATTTACCAAAAAAGTGAGAAAAGAATAGTTTCCTCCATTTCTATTTTTTCACTAATACCCTCAGTTCAAAATTAATTTTCTTCCTCAAGCATAATAAAAAAAGGAAAAAAATATTGAATTTCATAATTATAATTTGGGGGTCATCTTTATTCTACTAACTATAAATATTAATGACATCATTCTATTATTTGTCCAATATCAAGTATCAAGAATCAAGTACTTTGTTCACTATAAAATTAAATTAATAAGATCTCCACTCAAGTAATTCCATTGCCAAATCTTTGTTAGCTTTTTTTCTAAATCCTTCAAAAATAGATACAGCTTCCAAAAAACTGTAAGGTTTTAAATTTTAACACCTCTTTCTTTTGGAAAAAAAGTTCTGAAAGTAAACTCTAATACTGATTATTCTCTGACCATTTAGCCCTAATTATTCATTGGATCTGTTGTTCAGTCATTTCAGTTGTGTTCAACTCTTCATGAATCTATTTGAGGTTTTCTTGGCAAAGAGTAGTTTGCCATTCCCGTCTCCAGTTTATTTTACAGATGAGGAAACTGAGGCAAAC